CACGACCAGAGCGGAAGCCGGAAACCGTTCGGAGAAATAAAGATCGGCACTATTTCTCCGAACGTTCGGAGAAATAGTCACTTCGTAGTTAAAAGCCCACTGCCACTTTGAACCGTCAGACAAGTACAAATCAGTTACATTAGACTCTTATGGCATGGGTGTGGCCAACCTGATACTGTTACTGTTAAACTGAATGTTAGGTGTATATTTTTACTTTCACTCTCACACACAGATGCTCTGCTGGGGTCAAACTGCAGTACTGTTTTTGCTACAGATCACACATAAAGCCACTATAACTGTCGCAAATCAATTATTTTCAAGAAAATTTCAAATCTAACTGTAAAATATCAAATTATGGATGAAAACCCTGTAACCCCCCAGATTTTCTTTTACCCCAGTGGGGCAGGCACCCCAGAAACCCCCCGATTGGTTCAAAGCACGCCTATCTCTATTAAGAACAATCGGATATTTCAAAAACTATTAATTTCCGACAGAAATGAAGTTGGTATTCGTGTTCAGTGCATCAATATCTCGTAGAAAATGGACAACTGATAGCTAAGTGTGAGATGGGAGGGAAAGTAAAAAAAATACCCTCTCTTTCATATTCTAGCCTTTGCCAAAAGGTGGGGGTGTTTGCATGAAGGACTTTTTCGATCAACCGCAGGAAAAATATGTTTTCAACTGAAAGCATTATGCTTATGGCAAGGAAATAGTTGGTCAAGCTGCATGAGCAATTAGATTGATGTGTGCATCTTATTTATATCTCTTCATAGAAAGATAAAGTACAAAAAAATAGGGCATTTTTTACTCATCCTAAGTGCACACGTAATTGTATGTTAAATACAGTTGTTAATCTTAAAGTATCAAACAGTAGTGCATTCAAACAATGAAAATATTTAGTACACTATCATAACACTGTAGGTCCATTAACAGGGTTCTATATTTTTATATTATAATGATGTTATTGCTGAGTAAAATTTATAAGTTCGTTCATAACTCGTGTCATAATTACATCATCAGACTTTCCAAGGTCTTGAAAACCCAAATCGTTAAACATATTATCCCCAGGAATGACCAGTATTAAACCTTGGTTTGACATTGATTCACCAGAAGGGTAATTTTCCGCTCCATCGCATGGTTTTGCTTAAATATGACTTTGATTGCGATAATCCAGGTTTGTCATAATGAATAATGATGTTATGAACAAACACTTTATGATTATATTTCTGCAAAATATCATGTGAGGGACTTCCCACTGTTTCACAACATCCTTTTACATGGTGGCATAAACATGGCTGAGTAGCGTGCTGATGACTCAAAAGAGAAGCGAAGAAGAGGGATATATATATATATATATATACTAGCTGGACCCCCTTTCGATGAAAGGGATGATCGGTGCTTTAATATCAGCTAAAAGTCATTGGCCTACTATATTTACACTCTACTGGAATGGGGAAATAAATATTGAGAGATGCAAAAAATTAGATCTAGATCTATACTCTCAAAACAAAATGCGCCTCGTGAAATATCACTTCTGAATTTTCTAAAATTCCAGAGTCAGAAGCGTCGGCCTTCAAAAGCGATTGGCGAAATAAAGAAATTTAGCTTTTTGCAGCCAAACTGTCTCAAAACTGAAAAAACCTAGGGCGCCATGATCTGGAGAATATTTTAAAGAATTTTTTTGGCGAAAACCGCATGTCGATCGATGCAGCCATTAAAAAGCTTTTTGAATAGCAAAATTCGGCCACCACAAATAGATAATAGAATATGTATGGTTTATGTATGAGTTGTGGGCGGGGCTTTTTCTATAGATTCTGATAGATCATGCCTTCCTCACCAGCAGCTGAAAATTACTTGTTAGCGACTGGTGAACTTGAGTAAACATTGGGAGGTTTAATCATTGGAGTGACTGATAGTAACGACAAGTGAATGGATTATTATAAATGGCTTTTCCACAGTGTCTGGGGCCGTAATTTATGACAGATGTCAGGTGATAAAAGAATTACATGGCCATCTTAGACAGGTTTTTTTTTGTTTTGGTTGATAGAATAAAGTAGATGCAGGCGTGTTGGGCCGGTGATCACACATTGCTATTATAGGAAAAGAACACGGGGGGGGGGGGGGGGGGGGGGGTGCAATGAACATGGCCGTTTGTTTGTACAGGTGGCAGTATTATACAGGTGGCAGTCATAGCAGGTTCGACTATA